GGAATATGGAAAAAAAATAATATCATCCAGAATTTTTTCTATGCTTATTTCAAGAAAAAAGAAAGGGAGTTTATCCGGCGATCAAAGGCCATAGTTTCTCTCACTAACGCAGCAGTAAATGAGTTAAGTAAAACTTACAGCGAAAATTTTATCCGCAACAAAACAACTGTCATCCCCTGCTGTGCAGACATGCAGACTTTTAGCAAGGACAACACAAACGCACAATCCCTGCCCCGATTGACAGATAAAGATCATTTATTTATCTACACCGGTTCAATTGGCACCTGGTACTACACCAAAGAAATGATTGATTGTATGCTGGAGTGGAAAAAAAATATTCCAGAATTAAAACTACTAATTCTTACTAAAGATTTTACAGAGCTTCAACGTGTGCTAAGTAATTATTCGAAAGCAGAAATATCATTCGTTCTTTCGGGAAGTAGTTCGCATAAAGAAGTTCCTTCCTATCTTGCGCTTGCCAAAGCTGCCATATTTTTCATCAAACCTTCCTATTCCAAAATAGCCTCTTCTCCAACTAAAATGGCTGAATGCTGGGCTATGGACCTTCCCATCATTACAAATTCTGGAATTGGTGATAACGATCTCTATTTTAATAAACATAAAGGTGGAATTCTTCTTGAGGAATTTTCAACCAGGGAATACGCGCTCGCCTGCAACAACTATCTTAAACTTGAAAAAACATCAGGTGTTTATCGCAACATCGCCGTAAATTATTTCGATACAAAAATGGCTATAGAGAAGTACACCAACATTTATAAAAGTCTGACAAAAGAAAATTGATTAAGTCAATAAATCATATTCGTTATAAGCGCTTTATCTTTTCGGTTAACGATTATTTTTTGACCGATAAGATTGATGAAAATGCAGCTATGGTTTATTGTATTCAGTCTCCGCAAAATTATAAAAATCAATTAAGAGAATTTTACACTTTACTTATTGATCTTTCCCAAAGTCACGATGATATTCGTAGTGGCATTTATCACAGGACTTTGTCTGAGATTAATTCTTTCATAAACAATCAGACCTTCGAACACAAAGTTCTCTTCCATCTTCCTGAAAAGGAACTGGAACATTTTATGGATCTCTTCGATGCTTTTGCGTCTACAAAAAATATCCGTAAAGCGGAAAGATTTCGATTGAAG